CACACCCTTTAATCCCAGCACTTGGGAAGCAGAGGCAGGGGGATCTCTGTGAGTTCGAGGCCAGCCTGGTTTACAGAGTGAGCTTCAGGATAGCCTCCAAAGCAATAGAGAGAAATCCTGTCTTGACAAACCAAATACATAAATAAATAGATAAATAAATAAGAAAAAAGAAAATGGACAGTGCCTTTCAGAGTCACCAGTGCCTAAACAGGGGTAGGGGCTCAGCTCCCTCAGAAGGATGCATTTCAGTGGTTGGCTCATTCCACGCAGTTACATCAGTGGGTGTCTGACTCACAGAAAGTCTTTTTGTCCTTCTCAAATAGCCCCTTCCCTAGTGACAATATGGAGGGAGGTGAAGCCTTACTCATTAGCTACTTAGGAAATCTGGCCTAGAACCAGACAGTCCTAAACTGACTTCCCGCCATTGCAGAAATGGCTCTGTGGTGGCAAGACCTCAGAGCAGGGCCACTCTTCCTCATATTATAGCGTCTCCCTGAAGTCCCAGTGTTCCCCACTGCCCATGTTTCTTCTGGGCTCACGTCCCTGGATCAGCTACAGTCTCTGCGTAGCTCTGGCCACATCAGGGGCTATCCTTTGTGAGTCTCATCCTCTGGACCATAGAGTCCTAGGGACACACATAAGAGTTTGACTTCCGACACATTGAGTTTCTTTACATAATCTCAGTCCCCTGAGCTGCTATGGCACATTACCGTATACTGTATGGCTTATAAACAATGAGGATTAAGTCTGTTTCTCACAGGTCTGGAACCGGGAAGTCCGGAATCAGGCTTCAGAAGATTTGATGTGTGGGAATGCCTGTCTCCTGGTCATGTAGACATCTTTCTCTCGTGTCTTCATTTTTCTCGTTAACTCCAGTCACCACCCTAATCTATTCATGTGGACTCTAGCCTCATTGACTGATCAGTTCCCAAGGGCAGGTTTCCACACATGTACTTGGGGAGGATACAAATGTTCAGTCCACAGCAAACCCATCCCATCTCCATCCCCTCCCCCTCCACCCTGCTGAGGACATTGGGGTCCAGCAGGGAAAACCAAAGCAAAGGTGAAGCTCTGGGGACACCTGGTTGGAACAGGATCCCAGTGTGGTAGCAGAATAGATGTCCTCACTGGGGGTATAAAGTCAGCCTTGGGCAACATCACAATTTGGGGCAGAAGTGGAGGAACAAAATCTAGAAAGAACCGTGTGTGTGTGTGTGTGTGTGTGTGTGTGTGTGTGTGTGTGTGTGTGTGTGCTCCTGAGCATGCATCTGCATGTATGTGCGTGTTCATGTAGAGGCCGGCAGACAACCTTGGCTGTTAGTCCTCAGGCACCATCTATATTTTTTCCTTTTAAATTTTGGATCATGATCTGTCACTGCCCTGCAGCTCACCAAGTACAGTAGACTAGCTGGTCAATTAATCCCAGAGACTGGCCTGCCTCTGCCTCCCCAGCACTCAGATTTCAAGCACATGTCTCAAGACACAGGTTTCTCTGTGTTGCCCTGGCTGTCCTGGGACTGGCTTTGTAGACTAGGCCGGCCTTGAACTCACAGATGCGCCTGCCTCTTCCTCCATAGTGCTGGTATTAAAGGCATGCGCCACCACCACCCAGTTTGGTACCCACTTTTTTTGCATGGACTCTAGGGATCAAACTTGGGTCCTCATGTTAAGCACTTTACCATCTGAACTACCTCCCCAGGCCCAGCCACATAGTTCTGAAAACAACACATCCATGAATCCTCCTAACGTCCAGTAACTATTCAGCACATTTGAAGTTCACTCCAGAAGCCTTGGCTATAAGCACTTGTGCCTCGGAGAGTGCCCTGTGAAATGCGTGGTAGACAGACTTGGGCTCCACTGTGGGGAGACTTTAGATCAGACACAGAGATTTTGGTTTATCAGCTCCAATGCTATCCATCTCAGAGACTCAAAGGCGGGTCCTGTAAAAGGGCATGCTTCGAGGAAGTCTTTGGGATTCTGTCAAGAATGAAGAGCAGGCTCTCTACCTAGATATCCCGCCCCCGTGTGTGGCAATCTTAACCAGGCTCATGAGAAATGGGGCGGGGGGGGAGGGGGAGGCGGGGGGATTGACACAGGGACTGTGATGGCTATTTGTAGCTGTCAGCTTGACTACGTCTAGAATTAATTAAAACCCAAGCAGCTGGGTAAACCTGTGAGGGATTTTTATTAATTAAACCGTTTGAAATAGAATGACCCACTTTTAATCTGGACTTTTGAGGTGGGAAAATCCACCTTTAATCCGGGCTGTACTTCTGCTGGCAGCCTGTGTAGAAGACATGGAGAAAGGAAGCTCTCTTTGTCTGCCTGCTCTCACTCGCATTAGAGTCTACTTCTTCAAGATTCTGATGCATACTAAAGACCAGCTGAAACAATTAGTCAGAAGAAGAACTACAGAAACACCAGCCTCGTGGACTGAACAACTACTGAATCCTGGGACCTTCCATTGGTCCAAGGCAGCCATTATTAGTGGCTGTCAATCTAGAACATGGTTTTTTTGGTGCTTAAAACCTCATCCTGAGAAAGGCTTGGAGCTTACAATGGTATCCCAAACACCCAGTGTAGTCGCTGGCCAGCTAATAAAGATTTTCTATTGCCTTAAACCCGTATCTGAGCAGTCTTCTCCAGTGAATACCCCACAACACCTCAGGGAGAGGGGAGGTCTCTTTGAAACTTCAAAAGAAGCCTGTAAAGGGGGGCGGGCACGCACGCCTGCTCTCTTTGGTCTCTTTTTGCACACCAGCACTGCAGAGTTGGTGAGGGGCATGTATCTTTACTGTGCCACACTGGGAGCAGTGTTCTTACTTGATGGACACTGCCTTTATGAGGTCTTATTGCTAGCCAAGTTAATAATGCATCCAAAGAAAAAAGAGGCATTGTGCATTTGAGTAGAGCTTATTAATATGATTCAATTTTAAAAGGGCTATTACTTCAGAGTCCTGATGTCTGGGGATGCTGTTAAAGGACCATCTTTTTCTCCCCCTAAGAGTCACCATGACAACAGAGAGGCACCCCTTGCCCTGAATCAATCACAGATTTGTCTACATAGGGGTTCAAATGCATCCAGCTTATTGGGAATTCTTCTTTGCCTTCCTTGGCAGAAGTCCTGGCTTCATGTCCAGACTGAGTTGGAGTCTCAATCCATCAATATTCATGATGGCGCTGTCGCCATTCATTAACAGAAATTCGATTCGAAGACATGCACTGATCCTCAGCATGTACAAGGCACTCTGGGCACTTGGGCATCACTGTCTGGGAAGCTGACAAGCCCACTGGCATGACAAGTCCTAGCCACTCAGAGCAGCAAGAGTCACATAGAGTCAGCCGAGTCAGCCTGCACAGGGGACATGAGACCTTCACAAAAGTCCCTGGTGAAGAACCATTACGTATAGAGTATAGGTTTCATGATTCTGATTTCTGATGGCTATACTGGCAAGCCATCCAAAACAGGATCAGGAAACAACAGTTTGTCTCAGTTTCACATAAATTCAACTGAAAATTGCTAGGTTACCTTGGCCATGTCACTTAGCTTCTTTAGCCTTCACTATTTTTTTTCAAGACAGAGTTTCTGTGCTTAGCTCTGACTGTCTTGAAACTCACTCTGTAGATCAGGCTGTCCTTGAACTCAGAGATCTACCTGCCTCTGCCTCTGCCTCTGCCTCTGCCTCTGCCTCTGCCTCTGCCTCTGCCTCTGCCTCTGCCTCTGCCTCTGCCCCTGCCCCTGCCCCTGCCCCTGCCCCTGCCCCTGCCCCTGCCCCTGCCCCTGCCCCTGCCCCTGCCCCTGCCCCTGCCCCTGCCCCTGCCCCTGCCCCTGCCCCTGCCCCTGCCCCTGCCCCTGCCTCTGCCTCTGCAAGTGCTGGGATTAAAAGTGTGTGACACCACCACCACCCAGCTTAGCTTTTACTCTTCTCCCTATATGAAATGAGATGAAGGTTTTCTGTGGGCAGGAACAACATACATGTCTACTCATCCCAGACAGAGAGCCCATGACAGACCAAAGTACAGATACCAGTGAAGTCCAACTTGGTGAACAATGAGTTGAATTGGGGTTACAGGACAGAAATGACTCAAAGACAGCTCCTTCACCAAAGCCCACGCCAGCATCGGTGACAGTTCCTAAAAGCTGGGAAGCTGGAGCACATTGCAAAACCTCAGGCAGCTCAATGGGTTGGAAAGTGTCCTCTCCAGGTGACTTGGTTGGCCTAAACCTCTTCCAGGACGTTCAGATGGTCTCTGCTTCCTCCAGGCAATTGGGCTCCTCTCAGTGTTGACTGTGTGTGTGTGTGTGTACATTCGTGTATCCTCTCAGAGAGTGACTCAGCAGTCTTTATTGTTTACTATTGAAAGGGGGTGGGGCCTAGTGAGTGTGGTCAGTTTCAGGGACTTCCTGAAGCTGTTTGAAGTTTTTTGACTTCTGCCTTAAGGGGCTTCCCTGCAGGATGGGGTATTTCATTCTGGAGGAAACTGCTACATAACACCCCAGCTGAACCCTGAAGAAGAATGAACACCAAACCAGAAAACAAAGAAGTGGGAAGGGCTCCTTTCTCAGGGCCAAGGAGGGTGGACATGGAGGTGGGCCCCCTGCCCTGGGGGGCGTAGGTGGAAGCTCCTCCCAGCCTGGAGGAGCACAGGGATTGTAAAGCAAAGGAGTGTAGGAGAGAAGCCTAGGTGAGTAGGAAGCAGCTTCCACAGAGCTTCAGACCTGCTGCGCTGCCCCACCATAGCTCCAAACTCCCTACAATTGCCCCATGAGCCATCCATCAGCCTGTCAATCATGTGGGCACCCCACTGCCCCAAACCTTCTGGCTACACCTTAGAGCAAAGGATTGCTTGATGTGGGGTGGGAAATTGAGAGATGCTGACAGGGAAGACCTGTGACTTCCTCTTCCTCATCCCCTTCTGTCATCCTCCCCATCTCTCCCCCTTGCTCAGATTGCTATTTCCTCTTCCATTTCTACCCCAGCTTTCTACTTACCCAAATGACCCAGCATCTCCTTCTGGCATACTGAGAATGAAGGCACCTCTATTAGTATCTGCTGTTACTGTTCATGATGTTGAGCCTTCGCTATGTTGGGAAGCAATGGTTTCCAAACATGCATCAACACTGGAACTGAAAGGAAAAGTATCTGCTCAGAACACCCGAGACCAAGTTCTCAGAACAAAGGAGATTTATTTGCCCCAGAGAGACTAAGGGCAAGGAATAAGAGACAAAGACAGGAGATGGAGGACCAAGGAGGAGAAGAGAACAAGGAAAAGGGGGTGGGAGTATTTGTCCAAGAGGACAAAGGACTGCCTCTGGATAGAGAGGAGACAGACATGGCTCACAGGCAAATGGCATTTTATAAAGGTAAAAGGGGAAACCCTGTTTTAGGATGAGGTGTTTAATTTCAATTGGCATGTTAATTAGGTAAGCCAAAGGGGTCTTTTGATTGCTGAAATTCAATACTTTGATAGCTGGACCTTATTAGTCAGCCTCAGGAAAAGGAAGTAGCCAAATAGGGACTAGGCCTTGGCGGCTAGCTTTAGGAATGCAATCCAATGGTTTTTAGCAAGGCAAAGGGGATAGGAAGAAGGGTATGGCCTGCCAGAGTCATGTTTGCCATGCTTGAACTGACTAGAGTCCCTTCAGGTACCAGTCTTGTTGTGGAATATTACTTCAACTAGACAAAGATGTGCTACATTTATTCATACTGCATTTGTTTAATGATGTAAAGATGTATTGCTTTGCCTGCCTAAGACACCTGATTGGCCTAATGGAAAACTGTCTGGCCAATAGCTAAGCAGTAGAGGGATAGGTAGGCCTGCGGGCAAAAAGAATAGCAGGAGGAAGAATCTAGGCTTGAGAGAGAACTAGAGAGAAAGAGGAGATGCCCAGAGCCAGCCAGCCAGGCAGCCACCAACCAGCCAGACACAGAGTAGGACATACAGAATGAAAGAAAGGTAAAAAGCCCTGAGGTAAAGTGTAGACAAATAGAAACAGGTTAAATTAAGTTATAAGAGCTGTGGGACAAGCCTAAGCTAAGGCCAGCACTCATAATTAATAAAAAGTCTCTGTGTCGTGATTTGGGAGTTGGTTAGTGACCCAAAAGAAAACCCACTACACATCCTTACACCCTCTGATCAGGGCTAACCACTCGCCAGATTAAAAGAGCCAAGGTACCTGCACCCCAAAACAAAGAGTCACCCAGTCTCAGGCTCTGTGTCTGAGAAAGAGGGTTACTTAAGTTATGCTCAAAAGATCCCTCTTTCCCTACCCGTGTCCCAGCACAGCTCCTGAAAGTAAATCTCTGCATGCATGCTAAACGTATTTCAGCCAGTGGTCTGGGGTGGGAACTAGCCCGGTTGGTGCATGTGCAGAATCTGTAACCCACTGTCCGGCACTGACGGACTCTGTCAAAGCAGGAGAGAGGAAAAACAGAGGCTGGAAAAGGCTCAGCATTGAGGGACCTCATACTGTCATTCTTTTGACCAATCAGTACAAGAAACTGAGTTCCATTAATGATGCCTTTCCTCAAAAAGAAAGCCCAATAAATAGATAATAAGAAATCACTTCCTTTGGGCATTTATCACAGTGATGAAAAGGCTAACACAGGAGCAAAGTAAGCAAGGGCATTTACAGCCTGAAGACTGGAGCAAAGTAAGCAGGGGCATTTACAGCCTGAAGACTGCCCCCCCACCCCCAAAGAGATAGTGCTACCAAGAATAGCTAAGCCTGTGTCCTGATCTGGCTGTATACCATAAACCCTGCCTCCTTGTCTATCTGTCATAGCTCAGCACCTTGTTCTGCTGTAGGTGATAACCCCACCTCTTTGCTAAACTTAGTCCATATGACAAACACATTAAACTTCTGGAGTGCTGTGCTTTCTCTACCCAAAATTCCCCTGCCCCCGCCGTGCACGTGTGTGTGTGTGTGTGTGTGTGTGTGTGTGTGTGTGTCTGTGTGTGTGTGTTCATCTTTTCCATTCCCTCAGTGCCCCTGTCAGGTCCATTCCTGGAGCCATGAAAGGACATGAAAAAGCATATTATGTTGAAGACTGGTCCCTAGTTTGTGACATTATTGACATTTCCTAGGTGATTTGATATTGAGTCACATTGACAATACAGATTAACAACCAGCATAGGCATATACTTATCTTTCTAAGTATCTGACTTTTCCTGGCTCTCATCCCACTTTATGATCCCATTATCAGTGGGAGGGAATTCCCTCTACGTATGTCCTCACTGGCTCTGGTATGAGTGGCATTTTTAATTTTAGCCGTTCTGGTAGGTAGATAGCAATATCTCATTATTGTTCTAATTTGCATTTCATCAGTGTTTAACGAGGGGGGTGTCTTTTCATGTGCTTCTCTGCCATCTGTTTATCTTCCTTGATGAAGTAGCTGTTTAGTTGTGTTTTCTATTTCATTGGGTTATTTGCTATGCTAATGAGTTCTGAGTAGTCCTTGTATGTTCTCCATCATACATGTCTGTATAAAATATATTCTTCAAACCTGAGGCTTCACTCTTAACTTTATATGATGTACTGTCAATTTCTAGTTTTAGTCCATTATTATCTGATAATATTCGAGAAGCTCTCAATTTTCATCTACTTGTCGAAATATGCTTTCTATCATAACCTGTGATTTATATTTAGGGAAACCCAAGGAGCTATATATTTTTAAATGTTCAAGTCAGAGCCCATTCGAATTTCCTGTTGGGCTCACAGAGCCTCCACTTATTAGTTCCTCCTTGTTTACCCACCTTTGACTTACAGGACTGCTCTCCAGAGTGATGGGCCAGGGTCTGCTGAGGCCCTTTGGTAGCTTGTGGAGTGGCTAGGAACCCCATGAGTTCGCTTCTAGATGGATCTAGATAGGGAAAGAAAAGAATCTTAGCTCTCATTTATGTCTTAGGTTAAAACAACAGTGGGTCTGTCTTTCCTGGCTGTGGGCAGTTACTGCAGTGAGCTGGGGTCTGAGTCGTATCTGGGCAGCATTTTTCTTATCAAGAAGAAAATCATTAGTGAGAAATAGTTTTTAGACAGCACTTTGTATAGATTTAAGCCTAACGTTTGAGGGATGTGAGCTCTTGGAGTGTGGAGGAAACATACCCATCATTTTAGCCATGGGTTATATTTTCCTGCTAGTGTTTAGGACCACACAGGTGGCCAAAATGAATCACTTTGTTTTCACTGTAAGGCCAGGTGAGCGTCTGGTCCTCGGCACTCACTTGGGCTTCAAGGGCACCTCTGGTTCCCCTGGCCTGCCTCAACCCTGTTGTTCCAGCCACATGAGGATCAGTCAAAGGTCTTATATGACTGTGGCCTCACTTGCAGGCATGGAGGGAAATTGTCCTCTGTGTTGACTCTCCATTTTGTAGACTTGGCTAGAGCTGGGGTCTTCGTGGACTTCATGAACACTTACAGGACATGTTATTGATGTTCCCCAGTCCCCTGGGACCCACGTGACTTTGGAAGACAAGTGGAAAATATTCTTTCCTTTCAATCCCTCTGACCACATCAGTATAGGCCTCCAAGTATGGCTACTGAACACCCAGGTCAACTACACCAGTCTGGTACTTTGAACTACTTACTGTGTTAGACAAAGCTGGGACAAAATCAAAGCACTTTAAAATAAACATTGGCTAGATATACACTTAGGCAGAATTTTGCTGGCAACCTTAGATGTTTCAATATCATGCATAAAGTTTTATCTTTTATATAGCTTCATGTCACTTGCTCAGACCTTTGTAGCTTGCTTCAAACTTTTCAGCTTTTTTCAATTCTGAGAAAAAAAAATTCAGGCATCGTATTCTTCATCAATAACTAACAAGCCCAGCTGTGTTTTGTTTGTTTTTTCAGATTTTTTTGTTTTTTGTTTTGTTGTTGTTGTTTTCTAAACAGGGTTTCTCTGTGGCTTTGGAGGCTATCCTGGAACTAGACTAGCTCTGGTAGACCAGGCTGGTCTCTAACACATAGAGATCCGCCTGCCTCTGCCTCCCGAGTGCTGGGATTAAAGGCGTGTGCCACCACCACTCAGCCCACATGATGATGTTTCATGAACAGGCACAGCTAACCTCATGAAGGTGGTAACTGATTGGCTGTTGCACCAGTTCTCAACCTGTGGGTCGTGACCCCTGTGGCAGCTCTCTATCTCCCAAAAACATTTTCATTATCATTCATAGCAGTAGCAAAATTACAGTTATAAAGTAGCAACGGAAATAACTTTATGATGGGGGGTCACCACAAGAGGAACTTTAAGAAAGGGCCGCAACATCAGGAGGGTTGAGAACCACTGACTTAGAGGGTGCAATACCACCTTAAAATATAGGGCAGTCAAAAATCTGCTTATGCCTTGCACAGTCCAGGGAACGATGCACTTTGGTTTTGAATGAGTGCAAGCAGCAGACAGCAAAAAAGCAGAAACACACAGTAAAACCTCATCAAGCTGATGTTTGCAACCTGAAGCAGAGCTCAGCTAATGGGGCCCTGTTAAAACGGTGACAGAGGTAGAGTTCTTAGAAAGGGATGGTGTCATCCTTTCTGCCTTAGCCTGTCCATGCCACTGTAAGAGGAAAGGCGGAGCGAAAGAGAGGCACCCAGAACTTGGTGCAGACAAACAGAAGCAGCAGACAGCAAACATGGAGCAAAGGAGTCTCTAGGAAGAAAAGAACATCCAATCTCAAACAGGAAAATAGGCTTGGAGATGCCAGTCAGGAAGAGCAGGCATCAATACCCACCACAGTCCATCCTCATCTCCAGTCTCCCATCCAACAGGCTGGATTCTCTGTGCCTCCTGCTGTGGGGGCTGCCCGATGGCAGCAGCTTTGTCTACCACCTGCTGTCTACCCTCTGGATGCTGTGTTCTTCTGGACTGACGGAAATTCACAGAAGATTTCCAAGGCCGGTCATTTCGGGGTCAGTTCCCTTTGGTAGCTGGCTAGTGTTGGAGGCACATGGCTGGATAAACTCTTAAGTCACCTCTAAAATTCAGTAAATGTATCAATGCCAGATAATGTGTCAAAATCAGACTAAACCAAAACAATCCACTATGGAGGTGTAGTATCGCCTCCCTAGTCTGATATAAAAATGTATGGGTCCTGCCACCAGCAAGAGAGTCCATGCTGGCATCGCCTCTGGGTCTCCCATTTCCATGATTCCATTAGGCATCCAGGAAGGTGAAAAGCAAAAAGGAAAAAAATGGCAGGACTGGGACATGGCACAAGAAATTCTAGGGATGGAGGTGACTGCCTGCGGGCTCAGTGTCAGTAGGAAGTTTTATGGGTGGTGAGGTCATTCGGTCATCCCCATCGTGATGATGCTACTTCCCAGATGGAGGCCAAATGACATGACTCACAAGATGGCTGTCTCCACCTTGGTGAGGTCACTAGTCAAGATGGTGACAAAGCAACATGGTTACTTTTTGATTGTGATAAACTCAGATCTATGATAAAAGAGCCCACGCCTTATCAGAAAACAAGTCCCTATGAGATCCACCCACCCCAAAGATTAAATATGAACACTTACTCCCTTTTTTATAAAACAAACACCTGTGTTAGGTCAGCATGGGTATAGAAGGAGACAGTCCATGAGGACTGGGCATTTGGCCTGAACAAGGTCAAAGAAAATAAACAGAGGAAGGAATTCCAGGGTTTCAGCCTCCAAAAATGGAGTCCATATGTCTTACCACAAAGTGTAAATAGTGAATGCCAATGATGTCATCTGGATTCAGTTTTGATCTCTCCTCTGCTCATAGATACAGGCAGTTGCTAGGAAAAGGAACCAGTGAAAAAAATGAAAATGCGATCATCACCCATAGGTGGAGCTGTTGCTCTGGGAACATATTAAGACAATGGTGGCCAAGGGATACCTTGGTATCATTTTGTCCCACCCAAACATGGCATGGACTAAGACCAGACAAATTTGTGACCTTATGTGTTGGCTGGAATTTTAGATTCTTATAAACCAACTTGTTAAAAGTAGTTAATCCTGTTTTAAAACATTTTGGTAGCCTTGTGTGTTGCTTTTGCGAAATTAGAAAGCTAACTAACTGCCTCTGCACGATATGGTCTGCTGCAGCCTGGGTCCTAACCATACCAAGGGCATGTTTATTCGCTCTTCCTCTAAGCCCGATTGCAAGCGTCCCGGGTTCTCTAAGGGAACGGTGTGGAGAGGGCAAGAAGAGAGAATCCGTGTCCAGAGAGTGGTGTTGAGACAGACAGGGTGTTGAGTTTGGGTTTTGGAGGTCTCTTCCACATTGCTTCATCTCTCCTTAAAAGCAGAGGGGGGTGTACAGTCAACAGGGTAGGGGGAGCCTCTCAGTCAGCCAGAGGAATTGCTTCCCCTCTGTCCAAAAGAACCTGCTTCTCTTTGTCACTAAATTGTTTCCCATCCTGGTTTCTTGAGCGCCAACCAATCAGAGAATCTCAATCCCCATAAAGAAAGGGTTCTCTGATTCTGTCTTCCAATGCTCAGTCAATCTCTGATGGGATGAAGTCCTGTGTTAGGTACTTCATGGCCACGGGCTTATCAGAAGTCACCAAAGACACTGACCAAGCTATGTCATTTGCTTTGTGTAAGTGACAAGTCTCATTCCCTCTCCTCCAAACTCCAGGGTCACTAGACAATCAAGGAGGACTTTGTGGTTCTTGGCCTTGTGCACAAGAGTTACCTGATCTTCTCAGTATTTTTTGTTGTTGCTGTAGAGAAATCCTACTGATCTAAAAGAGTATAGTTCACCTGGGAGCCATTCCAACATGGCATAGGACACTAAAGGACGGGATCCAAACACTCTCCCAGGGGGATCTGAAATCTAGGATGAGCCCTCATATTGTTGGAAAAGAATAATTTCCATGTGACACAAAGTGAAAGTACTTCAAGGAAGGCAATTTCTTTTTGCAAAAAGGGTTTGTCAGAACCCAAACTGAGCTAGCAAACATCCTTGGCCAAAATGGCCTCTATCTTTTAATCCTAGCACCATGGTGACTGTTTATCATCCGGATTGTGGGAGCTCAACTTTACTGTGCCATGTGATTGGTCAGTAGAGCTCAGGAGTGTCTATGGGTTAGGCAGAATCTCATCACAAAATAGGGGAGGCTTAGGGAATATGGACCCTTGTTGGGTTAACTGCTTTTGATATGGGAGGAAAAAAGTTTCTCACTTTGTGTGATGCTGCTGCTGCTGGGGAGATGTGATTTTTAAAAACCCTAAGGGAAGAAATAATTTATGCTCATGGGTTCCCAGGTGTCAGGCCGTGATTGGCGGTCATTGTTTCTGGGCCATGAAGAAACAGGAGCTGAAGATCAGAGCAGAAGGACACAGATTAGACCACCATGGTCTAATCACCCATTAACAGCACCACCAACTGGGGGACCAAACCTCAGCACAAGAGCCCTTTAGGGGCAATGCTTCATATTCAAACCGTGACATACGTGTTTCTAGTATACAGACCAAGGAAGGTGACAGGGAACATCAGTACAGCTCTGGACATGAGGGTCTGTGGTGCTTTGGGAATCTAGTGGAATTACTTAATAAACAATTGCTCATCGGGTCTGTTGCTCAACAGAGAAGCCTGGGGTGGAGTCAAAGGGCGTCAGAACCCAGCTCAGCCAGTGCTCACACATGTGATGACCTGGACACACAGTGACTTGGAATGCAGGCTTTGACAAACTTCAACTTGAATTTGCTTGGCTCCTCTGGAGAGCTTCTGTGTTGTTTTGCTTTTGTTTCTTTCTAGAAGTCCAGGTGCTCTCATTAAAGGGCCCTGAAATGTCCAGAGGACCTGGACCCTCACTATCTTACTGTCTCACCTTGGGGGCAATTTGGGGCCAAGTTGGTTTCTCTTGGCCTCAGCTTTTCTTTAGCCATAGACTTCTGCACGCATTGGCAAGACTTTCGATATTTTAACTGTTTTGGCTTCCACCTTGCTGCTTTGGGCTCTAAGGGGGCATCTGAAATCCTACCCAGGGCCCTTCTTTCTCACGGACCCTCAACTCCAGATGCTGTAGCTCAGGTCACCACCAGCCACGGAAGTTTCCACTATCTCCTTTCTGATTTACATCTTCTTGTAAAATGAGAAGACTGGACTCTTGGTCCATCTATCCACCCACCCAGAGTTTTGAAAGTGCTTACTGTGTCCTAGGCACTGTTTTAGATAAAAGGCTTGCCACAGCCCTCATCCTTCTGTGATTTCTAAATGTGATTTGTGCTGATGCTTGTTCTTTTGTCCTTAGAAACATCTTTCCATTGGGCTGAGGGTTTAGAGGACAAATATGAATATTTAGATCTATGATTCATTGAATTACTCTAATTTTTTGGGATTTTTTTCCTTTTTTTCTTTCTTTTGGCTCAAGGTCAGGTTCAGAGCCCTCTTTTATTTTTATTTAATGTGGTTATTTTGTGTTCTGTTCTTCCAGATTTGACTTTATAATTCAATTTTACCCAGATAGATGGGAAAATGAGTTCACCCTCCCTAGTTGCTCTCAGGAGTGGGAAGGGGCTTTTATAATAAGCCTAGTGGGGGGTGGGGGGAAAGGATCACAGCTGGTAGTTAGGAAAAAGAGTCATGCATGCATAAATGAGAACAGACCACCCCGGAGCTGGGAGAGAGGAATGCTCCAGAGCTGGGAGAGCAATGCTTGTCTAAACCATGAGCATGTGTTAGAAAGGGCAGCTCTGCAGGCTCCTTTAACCTTTTGCAAAATATTTATCTCTCAAAGGTGCTGGGGTTGCAGATATAGGGGAGACAGGACGATTTCTGTTTTAATATAAAAATGTCAGTCAATCTGGTGTTCTCTGATATATGAATTGACAGCAATCTATCCTGAATAATTTCTAACTTAACCTTTATTTTTGAGCACTTAGTATTTCTCCAAATTCCTGTAGTAAATGAGCATTCTTGTTCTAACCGGAGAAACAAAACCCACAGTGAGGAGAATTTTGAAGTCACATTGCTCATCTGAACATTTTGGTAGATAGCTCAGAAATATTTTGTGGGGTGAATAAATTTGGCTGTAAGGCAGAATTGTGACCAATCCAGGCCTTTGCAATGTAGAAACTGGTTCAAATAAAGCAGCCTGTCCCTCTCCCTAGGAAGACCCCCTGGCAAGGTCACTTGGGAGCTTGGGCTCTGCCCTAGACTAGGCACCTCATGGCAATGTCTCTGCAAGGAAGGGGTGGGGCCCACACAGAAAGCAGTCTGAGTCCACAGACAAAGGAGGCTGTGAAAATATTTGCAGGCTTTTTGCTCCAGAGTCGAGATTGACAAGAAGGTGATCATCTGCGGATGGGTGCTTGAATCCGAGCAGAGGTGCTTAGGGAAAAGAGGCAAGGAGTGCTGCCTAGCAGAATATTCAGGACTTGGAGCTGCGCTTTCAGAAGACAGGCAGACTCCGCTTTCCATGTGAGTGTGGCAAGGACAGAGGAGTAGGCTGAAAGCAGCAGAAGGGGGAGGCTATGATGGTCAGGGCCCTCTTGGCTGCCAGGCTCAGAGGAACAGAATTTCTACCTCACTTGGAGGAAGGTAGGGGATATTTGGAGAGTGTACTTGGATAGCCAGTGTTATGTTGGCGTCTAGTATGAGAGAGATCTGCTCCTCCCTTCTCCTTGAGGGTATCTGGGAGCTACACTTTTTGGCACAGCCTCCCCAGCTGTTGGCCAAGCGGCTCTAACTGCCTCGTTCAGACACCCTATTTCATCGCCACAGAGGGAGGAGATTTAATGTGATTAGTGGGCGTGACATGCTTTCCTGTATATATTCTCCTGCAGGAACCTTCCCTTTCCTCGTCCCTATAAACCCTTCCGCCCTCAGAAGTCCTCAGGAAAGGAGGTAGGATGCTCCCTCCAGAATGGGGAAATCTTCAGGGACTAGAGGATGAAGGAAAGAGGATGGAGATCATGAGTGTGACGACAAGACGACCACGGTATTAAGTCTTAACCTGGGATGCAGGATGGTACCAAGATGGAAACCCCAGGTACTTTGTGGAGGAAGATACAAGCAGAAGAGGCCTGTGTCCGCTCCAATCTGTGCACTTCCAGAAGAATGCCACAGTCAAGTGGGATAGTGGCAAATCATAGAGAAATTGTGCCTAGTTACCTTTCATCCCCTTGAGATGATAATTGCATCTAGGAGTGCCCACCTACTCCATGTGAAGGGTTAGAACATAGCCAAGAGAGGGAACCAAACCCTATGGGTTAGAATGGTTGTAAAACAGGAGTGACAAAGGGTTCAACCCCAAAGAAAGAAGCCAGGCCCCAGGCTTACCTGAGGAGTTGGCAGAGAAAGGTTTGGGAGCCTGAATCTGCTGGAACCTCCTGTGGTCCTGAAAAGGTAGTAGTCTTGAGAGAAAGAAAAGCTGAGACCTACAGCTGAGGAGAGTCTGGGGCCAATTTCCCGGCCTGAAGCTGACATGCCCCAAGCTTTTTGTTTCTGATTTTTGCTGTTGTTGTTGGTTTAAGCTAGTGTGGACAGGTTGTGTGCCATTTGCAGCAGAAAGTGCCCTGTGTGACTTGTGAAGGAGTAGAATTTGGAGTTGGGACAGAACTGTCAGAGTCCATGAGGGAAGGAAGAGAATGTTGGGTAGGATGCTTGGACTGTGGAGGACCTTGAGTTTGGCGGGAGGGGGGTGGGAGGTGGCGGGGAGGGGGGTGGGAGGTGGAGGGATTCGGATGGGGGAGTGGGGGGCTGGCAGTGGTGAGATTTCATGTCCATATATTTGGGAAGCATGTCAATAGTATTCAAGGCATAAGCAGGCAGAGGGTGGTGTTGCACCTGGGTAGTTAATAACTAGTGCCAGCTGGCCATCAAGGCTTCCGATGAAGAAAGCATTCCAGATGGCTGGACCACAGGGGTAAATGGAGTTGAGACCTGGGAATCAGAATCCAGTGAGACTTGATGATTTAAGGTGAAAAATCAGAGGTAGATAGTACTATGGGTAAGATATAAAGTGTTTGGATTTAGTTATTATCGAATGAGTTAGGGAAAGTCAAGTCATGCGTTCCTTGGAACTGCACCTCACAGGAAATAGTGGCTCACTGCTCCTGTTTTGCCCAAGGTCAGTTGAGAGAGGCACACACAGGGATGTCATAGACCTGGAACTGACAACAAAAGCTTGACAATTCCCGTTGGTGAGATCCATCTCTCCAACATTTGCAAAAAATGACCCACCAACGCCAGATCTAACAGCATTGCAGAACTAGTGCTGCCTGGATCTTCAGAGGCAGGCCCTGGGGCCATGTAGGAAATGCTCTTCCGGGGATCTCAGGGGTCGCGACCTCTCTAGGATGTCTGGAGGCCTTTAGGGACAAAACTACAGCGAGGTCTAGAGTAGACACAGGCCGGATGTGGCCCGCGCCGGAAGAGAAGCGCGGGACAGGCGCGGGGGTGGAGGTGGTACGGTGGCTAGGATCTTGACAGTTTGGCCCACGCGACACCTGGGGACGCACATCGGCGACTAGGTCTGCGGTGCGGGGTTAGGCACGCAGTCACAAAGCACCCACTCCGGGGCCGGGACGGGCCTAGGGCCCTGTCCGGGGCCCCAGGCTCCCTCCCTAAGTCCAGCGTAGGGAGACGCACAGGCCTTGTGCGCTCCGAGTGCGCGTGACTTCCACGTCCCGAGCTGCGCGGCCCGAGCTTGTCGTGAGGGCCGTTTGGACACTCCGAAGCCGTGTCCGCTTCCAAGGCCCTGGGCGCGGGTCGCCGCAGCCTGCTGGTCCCGCACCGCCGCCTGCGGGGCGGAGCTCCAGGGCGCCCTGAGCGCGTCGGGCCGGGCAGGGGCGTGGCGGGCCCGGCAGGGGGCGCTGCGGATCCCGGAGCCCCGGCGGCCTGCGCGCGCCACAGTCGCCTGCACTCCCGCCAGGAGGAGCTGGCTGCGGTGGAGAACCCTACGCGCAGCAGCGGAGGCCGGGACCTTAGGCGGTGAGTGCGGAGCGCGCCGGCCCCGAGCGCTTCTGAGGCTCCCGGCTGAGCGGGCTTGTGTCTGGGGTCTCGGGTGGCGACCTCGGAGGGGTGTCGGCGATGCTGGGATCGGGAGGCAGAGGCGGGCTTCCAAACAGCGTCCGTGAACCCCACCACCAAGCTCTTTGCTTTATCTACGCGCTCCCCAGTTTCCACATCTCCCCACAGCCCCCTTCCCGCGCCGGGGGTCCCCGGCTTCCGACCTGCCTCCCCTTTCGCAGCTCTGCGCCCTAGAAGCCTGCCAGCACACCCCCTTTCTCCCTCAAGCCCTCCCACGCTACCTTCTCCCGTGTCCCTGCAGCCTGCCTCTCCCTTCCAGCTTTGCTCCTACGGTCCCCGCCGCCACCCCTACGGGCTCCTATTCTGTCCCCGGTGCTCCTACCGCGCGATTGCAGCGGGAATCTGAGCTCTGGGATCCCCCTTCTCCCTGCTGTCCTGAACCTGCAGTGTCCAGGTAAAAGGCGACCGCAACTTCACGACCTGCCCGGGGGGTTCTTCTCCAGCTTCTCCAGAACCCTGGGCCCAGTCGAGGGCCATTTCGTGCCTGTAGGTTAGGCTTGCTCAATGCTCTGCTCAGGACTGTGTGGTTACTTCGTTGCTTGCTGAACTTGGATCGGTTGCTATTTCTAAAAAGAAGCCGGCTTTGTCACACACAAATATGGAGCTGGTTCTCTTAGCGGCCGAGGCTGGCTTTCAGTTGTACCTGTGGATGGGGAAGGATTAGCGATGCAGGGGGAATGGAGCCATATCCTAACTCCAACCTACCTCGGCTCTGGGAAGCACAGGAGACTGTGACTGTCCTTTCCTGGGTGGCCAGTGTCTTTATGGAAAGGCAAGGATGCCTTCTAAACATTCAACAGGTAGAACCAGTTAAGATTTGGAATCAGATCTGGTGTGGATAAGGAAGTGTGGTGTAAACGACCAAGAATGTCCACCTTGGAGGAGTTCCACCACTTAGGGACATTTGTTGCTCTTTGCAGCAGGTCCCAGGGTGGATCCCAACTATGGAGTAGACAGTGCTGAGCCCAGCCTACCCTCTGGAACTCTCGGTCGGGCTTAGCAGCAGCCCCCTCCTCAGGGGTGTTGGTGTCCTGTCAAAGGGACGTTCGTGGGAAGAGGACTTAAAGCAGATGGCTTGGAAAGCCTCCTGTCCCTGGAGAGAGGTGGCGATGGCATGATGACAGCCCGAAAGCCAGTGTGTGCATTCACTCCTTCCCTTCTGGGGTCTTTCATTAAATCTTGAATTAAATTAATTGCCTAGACAGAAAAAAAAAGAACATGTAAAGGGTATTTCTCATTTAGGATTGGCTTTTGGCCAGTCCACCCTCACAGATACCTTGGGAGGCTGCAAATGAGTACCAGTGGCAGGGAGGACCACCTGGAGCACAGCACTCTGAACCGACCCTCCCCCCTCCATTATTAGTTCAATATTCCTTTGCCATTGAACAGATGACTAGCCAAAGACATAGTAGAGCTCAGTAGGGCCTTTTTAATGTTCACAATTTCTCCTTGTCCTCACAGGGATAGGTATTGTCAGGAGTCCCTCTGGTCAGAACACCTGCAGGATTGAGGTGGACATATCTTTGTGACCTTAGGATCTGGCCAGGTCCCCCTTGCCTGGTACTCAGTGTTTTTGGTTGTGGGTTTTTTTTTGTTATTTAATTTTTTCGTTTTGTTTTTTAAGCTGGGTGCATGCCTTTCTTTAAGATGAGCACTCAGGAGGCAGAGGCAGATGGATCTCTGTGAGTTTGAGGCCACCCCTGGGCTATAGAACAAAGTTCCAGGACAGCCAGGGCAACACAGAGAAACCTTGTCTAGAAAAGCAAAAAACAAAACAAAACCTCCTTCTTGCTTCAGTCTTGAGTCCACAATCCTTGCTCTCCATTGTCCTGCAGTGGTTTTAAAAATCACTCCTCTCAACACATTTGAGTGAGTGCGTGTACGTGTTAAAGTCTTTCTTGCTAGAGACAGATTCACTGCGTATTGGGACTGTGGGTATGAAGAGGCAGAAAGGATAGGAAGTCAAGTTCTCGATCGGGTCTGACAGCTGGTCCTAGCCCTCAGCGGAGACTCCAGATTTTTAAGGAAGGAAATAGTTGTTTTCATCCCAGAGGTGGGAGTGCGAGGGTGATAGTCACTCTGGGGAGGCCCTAAGGCTGCCTATACTGAGAGAGATATCCTCTAAGGTTTATCCTGTAAACCCTGGGCCTTGGCCATGGCTTCTTCATATTATTTTTATTGGTTTGTTTATTTATCTACTTACTTTGGCTGGCTGGTCTGGAACTCTATGTAGACTAGGCTGGCCTCTATCTAACTCAGATCTCTGTGTTCCCAGTGCTGGGATAAAAGACCTGCATCACCATGCCTGGTGGCCCTGGTTTCTTGAACATTCCCCACCCCTGCCTGCTAATGGAGGAGGCTGCTAGGGAGATAGGATCCCTTGCAGACCCCTCTCCCCCACTTCAGGTTGTGCTGTCCACTCCAGAATTGGTTTCTGTGGCAGCCTAGGAGTGCCCCTTTGTGCACATTTCTGCCAGGGGGAGAGACTCCAGTGTTGGAGGATGTGCTTTGGTCTGTCAGGGGAGGCTTTGCCCTGAGAAAGCAAAGTTCAGCTCTTCTGTCCACTGAAAGGCCAATTTGAGGAAGAGCACACCTAGTCAGGACTGCAGGACCTCTGTCCACTCTGCTGGGCGGCTGGGGACAGCTAGAATTCTGAGTGCCACTGGTTGTGCGAATGTGTACTGCCCTGGTTGTCATTAGCTTATCTTTCTCACCCAGGCTGCCTCTGTCTTCAGGTTTGGCTCTTACCCAGAATTCCTGCAGCTGGTAAAATCTGTTTTCTAGAAGAGGTTTAATTAATGCCTGCAGTTTGTGAGAGAGAAAGGGAGATGCCACATGGAGGGGGCAGGAGAGACATAGAGAATAGCAGAGACCTGACAACCCAGTAAACGGATTTCAGCTCCAGGCCCCGTCCAGGTCTCTGGTTGGTAGGTAAGAAATGTACCTGCATTCTGGTGTAGGGGTTTCCATTGCGAGCAAAGTCACTGAGACAGAAAAAATGAGCCATTGATGTGAAGAAAGGTGTGCTGGGCTCACTATTCTGGTTCTTAGAAGGCCTGGGAAGCCATCTAAGAAATGGATGAGGTCAGATGGGAAGACAGTTGACTGTTGTAAGCTTTTGTGTCAGGACTGTGCCCCTGGGGATGTGGTCCAGTGAGCCAGGTTGGTCTGGGGTCTGGCCTGGGGGAGCCAGCTCACTCCAGAGATGCCATGCAAATTGTCTAGAAGAGCAGCTGTGCACTTGTGTTCAACAAGCAAAACCTTCTAGCAGGAGGGAGGCAGCCTCCCAGGCATCCGTCATGGGCCTGCCAGGCTGCCTTGACCTGAATGGCACACAGGGCCCAGAGGTGCCAGTCTACTGCGGAACTACTGAAGCACAGCCTCTAGGAGGCACGTGTGAGCCCAGGATGCACCACAAGGTCTGCTCAGAGTATGGAAGACAAGAGAGCCCCCTCACCAAGCCAGAATCTCCACTGTGTCCCCAGGCTCCTCTAACCCATCTCAGATGGGGAAGCCACTGACTCTGGCAAAAGACCTATCTCTTATGAAGGGAGGGACATACACAGGAGTATGGAAG